CAGTAACATTTAGAATGTATGAAGTACATCCTAACACATACATCCATTGGCAACTTACATTTGTAACACATCTGCATCTCCGAATTATGAAACCAACACATGAAACTAACAAATAAAGTTAATTTATCATATAAACATAATTTTGCTCAGTGTACTAGAAAGTACTATAACAAAGTTTTCCCTGATTTTTGCTTTCCGAAAGTATCATATTTGACATAACTAAATCAATACAACCCTTTTTTTCACAAAACGTACATTGATACTTGTGATCTGTAATCGAAATGTTCACGTTTGTAATGCTTTCAAAACAAAACAGTAACAGTACGACACATCGGTTATCAAATCTTTATCGATGTGTCCAATAAAAACTGAGACATTTGTGGTCCATGCCATCTATGAAAATATATGTTGACTCTAGCGACATATTTTACAACGTCAATCCAATTGACAGTTATAAGAATAAAAAGCTAATTTCATGTTTTCATTTTAAAATTTTGTACTGTTAAGTGGTGACGAGACATTAGTTTTTTTGTCTCGAAAATAATTTGCCACGTTGTGCTGATTCATCAACTTTTTTTATCTGAAAAACAACATTAAATTTGATAGTTCCTCTTTGGTGCATTAATCACAAGAAAGACATGAACATGAACAAATAAAAAACCTGATGGATTGGTACAAAACTTTACATATAATCATCTTCACAATTTGTGCATTGTATAAATGTCATCTTTAATCTACAGACAAACGGTTTTTTCCCCTTTTAAATCATTGGATATGCTTTCGAATCAATATTATAAACTACAAGCTACAAGGAGCATGTATCGCTCGAATAACATTTATACTGGAAACGTAAAAGATGTCAAATTCATAAAGCCTGAAATATAACGTCTTGATTACTAAAGATTCAAAGAAGTCAGCTTTTCATCTTGTATAATGAAGTCAGCTTTTCCTCTTAACTTATGAAGTCAGCTTTCCATCAAAAGTTCTATTTTTGTAGCGGTTGGTTTGATATGTCCACCATAATTACTTAAAGTGCATCATATATATCCCTTTTCCCTTAGGGAATTGATCATTCGCGGAATTTGTTTGTCTATGATTTTCTTTGTGGTTTTTTCATTCCATTTTTAATTTTATCTTTATATTAGAAACTAGATGGTGGCCATGTTAAATGTTAAATGTTACATTTTTAAATGTTAAATGCTAATCAACATGTTAGTTATACAATATCAACATGACCTTTAATCCAGAAAAGCACTTCGGACGCATGAAATTTAGAAAGTGTTTTTTTTTCTCTTTTTTTTTTAGGTACTTCCACATTATCTATTCTCTCTTTATTAACGGAACTACCTGTTCATTATCAGAGTTCCGTATTATTAAAAAGTCAAAGATGAACAGGTGTTGCCAAGTGTCGTGAAAAGTTAACACGCTCTTTGAGAAGGCAAGGATTAACTTATAGAAAAAAAAATGTTATATCGTTTTCTATTTTAATGACAAATTTGGCCACGATTGACGTCAGCTGTTGTAATCAAAGATAATTCTTAACGTTTTTTTTAAAGGTATCAATCATCCAAAGTAGGTAGAAATTGAACCTTTACCAAATTATTGCACTCTTAGCTTAGCTGTATTTGACAATTCCTTTCGGAATTTCGGGTCGACAAATTGCTCTCCAACTTCGTACTTTATTTGGTCTTTTTAACTATTTTGATTCGAGCGTCACTAATGCGTCTTTTGTAGACGAAGCGCGCGTCTGACGTACAAAATTTTAATCCTGGTATCTAGGATGATTTTTTTTTATAAATACAAGAATTTTTTGGGGGTCAAATAGTTTGATGGCGGTTTCGATCATTTACAAAGATAATTTTGAAAGGCAATAAGAAAATTAATATAGAATTAAGTAAAAGGCTTGTAACATTCTGTTCTTGGCCGGATTTTTATAATGATTGTTTGATTGTTGTTTGCTTATCGTCCAGTGGAGAATATTATAAATCTGTGTTCATGACATGAACAAAGTTACAATAAAGACAAATAGACTTTTTCAACAACTCTCGATACCGACTACTGACACCTACAGTTTACAGGAGAAATAGAGGGGTCGTATCAAAGATAAAAATCGTTCAGGTATAACATGCGTGTAACATTTACGTGCATATTCGATTTGAACGGTAAAATTTTGAAAAAGAACGGAAAGTGAACAAAGAGCTATTGTGGATTTTCTTTGTTTTTTTTTCTTTCTTTCATATGATACTTATTATTTATAAACATTTATTTATCAACCATTTCTCTTTCGATTCTATAAATCAAAAAAAAAAAATCGGCAATCTATTTACATCCGAATCCATTGCATCTTCGTTAATATGATTATTAATATTTAGTTGTACGAGTTTCCCATGGAAGACCCCACCGCTTACCTATAGCCGTTTATTCGTTTTTGGAATGTTATTTCGGAATGTTATTTTATCACTCTACATTTTAGCATTCCCATAGTAACAAAGTTACGGAGAGGACATTGTAACGGGACTATGATCTGTCTGTCCGTAACACGCCCAAAACACACTTGTGAACATTGTAGAGGTTGCGTTTCTCAACAGATCTTCACTATACTTGTTGTACATATATTGAATAACATTGACTGTTATAAGTTAGTTGTCCCTTGGTTATTGATACATTTTCTCCGTTCGCGGGCATAACCTTTACGATAAGATGGAATTGCTTACCCTGTCGGAGCAATTGTGTTGATCCCAGTTTAACAGAGTCAGTTTTTTCTCATATAACTTTGGTTTTCTATGAAAAAAATTGCCCCTTTTCTCTTGTCCCCGGATTTGTTTTTGTTTCTTACTGTCCCCTTCTGTTGATTGATCTACGTTTCGGTTTTCTACTCTTATTTAGTTTTTGCCCCAAAGGTCTTTTTTGACCAAACATAGGGTCTATTATATTATAAGTAAACCCCCCGCCGCATATGTTTTGCGCCTGTTCCAACCCCAGAATATGTTGGTCAATGGTATATTCCTTTCTTTTTTTTTATTTCACAATATAATGCTGCAGCATTGGATTTGATCTCTGTTTTTTGTCGGAGCCGACTTATTACCCGACAGTATTGAAGATCATGCGGTAAGTATAAATGTCTGTTTTATGTGTCGCATTGTGTGATTTTATGCTTTATTCATGTCGTGTCCATTGCCCGTGTCAGCCTTGACCCATAATGGTCAAATAAAATTGAGAATGGAAATGGGGAATGTGTCAAAGAGACAACAACCCGACCACAGAACAGACAACAGCAGAAGGCCACCAACAGGTCTTCAATGCAGCGAGAAATTCCCGCACCCGAAGGCGTCCTTCAGCTGGCCCCTAAACAAATATATATACTAGTTCAGTGATAATGAACGCCATACTAAACTCCAAATTGTACACAAGAAACTAAAATTAAAAATAAAACAAGTCTGTTTTGTGCTATTGGAATTAAAAACAAAATATAACCAAAACATGACATAGAACATTCGCTTTATCTAAATGTTCTGCACAATTTGTCACTGAATAAAAAACCTACTAAGAATAAAGTACATTACGAAGGAATCTGAAGCCAAAAATAACGGACTTTGTATAGACATGTACCGCCCTTGTCAATAGACATAAAACAATTGTCTGTTTAAATATTTACTGCTTTTTTTTTAAGTAGCGTGAATCACATCTTCTAAAAATTTTGAATAAAATATTAAAGATCTCCCTTTTATTCATTCATGAGGGTATGAATGGGGGTCCCTCAATTCTGTATTCTCTCTTTTTAAGCCATTTTTCTCTATCCTTTATTTATTTTGCCCATTATTATTTTTTTTTTATAATTTAGCACCCCATTGTTCCCTTTTCTTTATCATTTTTGCTTATTTTTCTCTATTCTTTATTTTTTTTGCCAACGATTCAGTAGTATTGGTACATTTATGTCGATTCTGTAAACCCCATCCAATCCCTGATTCATACTCAATTCAAAAAATAAAATTAAAGAATATAAATCAGTAAATGGTTTACAACCAAAACAAGAAAAATATCGTTGTGGTAAATACATATAGGCAAAAAAACATCCTTTCAATTCAGTTAATCGTAACCATTTTATCCAACCATTACTACTTTTGAGACAACCACTTACATTTTACCTGTCGTAGTCGTTGTCAACTGTAGGTGTAGACAATTGTTGAAAAGGTTTAATGGTAGGTTTTGTCCGGGATGAAAGTTTGGAAATTTGGACGGCTACATGGAATTGAGGACACGTTGAATAGGGACATACATTTTGCCTTGCAACAGACCACCTACGGACTCTTGAAAGAGTTGTTGCAAGTGTTCTTAAACGTGCAGAGAGCGTGACAATCTCTCTATGTACGAGGCATTGGATTTAACGTCCACATTCTGACCGGACGTGGCTGTGAAGTTTTTTGTTTTGTAAGAAAGCTTGATAGCAGTTGGGATCAAACAAAACTTTGAAAGAGTATCACAATTGTGTGAGTTTGGCACAATTTGGCCTTTGACACGATTCTTCTAAATTTTTTATTAACTTTTTGTCCAATTTTCTTTCTTATAAAAAAACATTTTACTTCTTTTCTTTCGGTGCCAGTCATGTTAAATTACAGTTATGTTTACAGACCAACCTTATGTGTAATTTACTCAAATTTTGGAAGAAAAAAATATAATTTACAAGGGTGCAATTTTTTCAATTTTTTTACATCGGATATGATTTTTTTATTAGACACCCAACTCGGGATGATTGTGACCAAATCTTATTTCAATTAGCTTTGTAATATCTGAAGAAATTGATTATGAAAATAGTTACGATGGAAAATGGATCACAAGTGAGGATTAAAGCTCAAACTGGCCCTACGAACCATGTGAGCTGAAATGAGGGTTGATAAGTGACATTATCCTAGTACTGTACATATGTATTGTAAATCTTTGATTCTTACACGATCATAATAATTTTATTCTCAAAATGGATAATGGGATATTATTATCAATCATTTCAATGCTACAAACTATTTACTATGTCATGCATACAACATGCTGTTAATGACAAATCTTACAAGACACAACCACAATTATACACAGGCAAAACTCTCTCTCTCTCTCTCTCTCTCTCTCTCTCTCTCTCTCTCTCTCTCTTACTCGAAACTTTTTTTTACAACACAGCAACCTTTTGGTTTTATTACAGATGTTTTGGTGAAACTAGCACATATAAGCGAAATGGGAAATAAGTAAAAATGAATCCAGTTTAACGATTTACATCATGCTAAAGCTCGTCATGTTTAGGTCCACTAAATTCTTCTTTAGATATCTGACCGTCTTTATCTTTATCTTCATGAAGAAATATATTGTCAAGAACCTTTTGATGTTCTTCTGATTCTGCTTCTATTTTTTCTTCAGAGTGTTTTATTAAGAATTCTGATACCTAAAACATTATGTCTAATTAGTAATGGATGCTTCAATCGAAAATTTACAGTTTATGAATCTCTCTAAAAAGGTAAAAAGTGTTCCGCAGTATCATAAATTATGTCAAAAGGAAGCAATAATTGTTGATCGGATCTTAAATACCCATACAGTTATCCTACATCTTCTCATGTCCGGCATATGTTCTATACATGTATGTCATTCTAGCCAATTAAACTATAGCCACAACATAAGGCAACCCGTCAGTACTTATATTTGTGAAGTAATTATTCCAAGATGACGTGAGTATCGAATTAAACTAATAGCTCGCACCGTGATGCGAAGAAAAAAAAAACTTAAACTAAGGCTGAAACGCCGTGAAGCAAAATTGACCTTACAAAAGTTTGATAACGCTATAAAGGAACAAAACAATCCAATTCATAAATTTATAGATAATAAAAAAGCAAATTTTGTACGTTTTGTATGTGACAGATTGTTGTCAATATAATGGAATTCTATGCGACTGTCATACAAGTGAGAGATTTAGCTAACTACAAAACCAGGTTTAATCCACCATTTTGTACGTGAGGAAATGCCTGTACCAAGTCAGGAATATGACAGTTGTTTTCCATTCGTTTGATGTGTTTGAGCTTTTGATTTTGCCATTTGATAAAGGACTTTCCGTTTTGAATTTTCCTTGGAGTTTTGCTATTTTATACTTTTTACTGAACTGACCTCTTTTCTAGAAATGAATCCGTCCTTGTCTGCATCTATTTCCGTGAATACGTTGGTGGGTTTAGGTCCGTCATCTATCTTGACAAGCTCACATTCAAATATTAAGGTAGAAGATGGAGGAATTCGCTCACCTGAAAATTTGAAGATAGAAAATAATCTTGCATCAAATATGAATGTTTAATAATGTGAAGCAGATATGCGATTACTAACTCAAAATAAACAAATACTCGGCAGTGAGTGAGTTTCTCTGGGTTTAATTTACATTGTACAGATCAACAGCTTAGGTATCAGAAATCTTTTTTCAAAGTTTATAATATTAAAGATCACGGAAACGTGATATGAATTGTTTAACTTGTTAATGTTAACTTTTCCTAAAGGAGATTGTGTCTCAGTTTCTGTAAAAGTTCACTTGCTATTAAAGAGAATTTGAAGTGTTTTCTCTCAAAATTTCGTTAGTACTAAATAAAAAAAGATGATGCTTTCTGTATTCTTTCTACATTTAAGAGTGAATGGAAATAGCGACAATGAGATTTGATGACAGCGTGAGCAATTAGATCAATTGACATCATCCCATCGAAATTTTACGGACGCCATCATTGGTTGACCGTTATGGAATATCTGTTTCTCAGATGACGACGGATACGTTCCAATTGTAGTAACTACAATCCCGTCCCCTTTTCCCCCAATGTGACCTACCGAATTAGACTTATCACCGGGTTTGTACTTCCATGAGCAACACGTCTGGACAAGTGGAGCAGGATCTGCTTACCCTTCCGGAGAATCTGAGATCACCCCCAGTTTTTTTGTGGGGTTCGTATTGCTCAGTCTTTAGTTTTCTATGTTGTGTTTTGTGTACTATTGTTTGTCTGTTGGTCTTTTTCTTTTTTAGCCATGGCGTTGTCAGTTTTTTTTCGACTTATGAGTTCGAATGTCCCTTTGGTATCTTTCGCCTCTCTTTTTATACTCTCTACAACTGCTTGAAGTACCTAGCTGCACCTATATCACCGTACGCTAGTTGTGAAGGAACTGTTAATGTTTGTTTTATTGGCATTACCTGCACCTATATCACCGTACTCTAGGTGTGAAGGAATTGTTAATGTTTGTTTTATTGGCATTACCTGCACCTATATCACCGTACTCTAGGTGTGAAGGAATTGTTAATGTTTGTTTTATTGGCATTACCTGCACCTATATCACCGTACTCTATAGGTGTGAAGGAACTGTTAATGTTTGTTTTATTGGCATTACCTGCACCTATATCACCGTACTCTAGGTGTGAAGGAATTGTTAATGTTTGTTTTATTGGCATTACCTGCACCTATATCACCATACGCTAGGTGTGGAGGAACTGTTAACTTTCTCTTTTCGCCAACACACATATCTAGCATTCCTCTTTCCCATCCTTGGATGACCTGACCAACACCCAGTTGAAAAGAAAACTCTTGATTGTGGTCATCCCTGCAAACGGAATGTAATTACAAGTTTAATGATTGGTTTTATGAACATCCAAGATACAGACAATTAAATTTATACTTTATACGATTTGAAGTCGCAATAAAGTGATGCCGTTTTTATTCAGTGCACATATAATTTGTGTAAACACGTGCTGTATTTATTTTTCCTTTTTTGGTCCAGGATGTTTATTATAAAATTGCAACATTTACTAGAATGTCTTTCATTATTAGTGAATTTATCTTTTCTTAAACTTCTCAGTTTTAAGTTTTACTTCAGTATTCTTTTTTATTTCCATTTGTAAAATGGAGTTTATTTACTGGTTGTAATTTGTATCTTTCTACAGAGCATAGTTTTTCAAACTTGCATTTTCTAATTTATCAGATTTCATGATTAATCAAAATGCAAATAAAACTAAAACTGTTTTCAATGACAAGTGAAGATGAATTACTTTTAAGAAGCCGATTTTCAATGACAAATACGTAATTCAAATTCGTAGAAATGTTTAAGGTTGCAAATACATATGATTTAATATTTCCTTTGTACAGAAATTACATTTTAGTTGATCTAAATCGATCAAAGTACTCAATCCCACTGAATAATATAAATAATGTTTATATATGAAACAACAGGTGTCGAATATTATAGCAATGTAAATCCTCTACATCACCAAGTTACGATCGCCTATTCCAATAAAAAGTTCTGAATAATAAAGTACTAAATCATTAAAATAAACGTAATAAAGCATACGTCAATTTCTACAATGATGATGTGTGTTATCAGAATTCTTATAATGGTGTGTTGGAGAGAGAGAGAGAGAGAGAGAGAGAGAGAGAGAGAGAGAGAGAGAGAGAGAGAGAGAGAGATGTACTCATTCTAGTCCCATCTTATGTATTGCGTACTCAGTATACCATTCGCTCATTGATATAGTCCACCAATAACTTAATCCCGATACTCATTTTTATTACTATTAGGCAAAACATTTTTTTTTTTTTTGGTTTGTTTTTAGGGGGAGGGTATGATGTTTGATTGCATATTCGAGAACCTCACAGGCAATATATCTAAGTTAAGGAAAGAAAGATTTAACTTACGTCGATTCAAACTTTGTACCGTTTTCCAGAAATCCTGTATATTTCATGCTAAGGACATCTAGCCGCTGTGATTTTCTGGAGTCTTTGTCGCATCCTTTCTCCGGTATGCTCACAACTTCAATTTTCAAGTCTGGTTTCTCTTCTGGATCTTTTGATTCCTTGACTTCTTGGTCCTTTTTGGTTACCTCTTCATTCTTTGATTCGCTTGCCTCCACGGAAAAACAAACGATAGTAGAGACAAGAAGACATAAGAATACAGAGATTTTAACCATATTGAAATATAAGTGTTCTATATGAGAAGGCACTTTCTTATTATAACTTTTTTGTAGTATATTCAACGTGGCAAATTCATATTTGTAATGTATTACCTAAGGCAATCATATGTCATTTACCTCTAGAGAAAAATGATTGGTCAATTAAAAGAAGATTAAGACAGTATTTATAGTAACAGAACACGTGGTGACATTGCCGGTTTATTTTGTAAATCTTGATGCAAAACTCAATAGGATTTCGCTTATTATAATTCGAATCAATAAGGTCAATATTTTTTATAATCGCACAGTGACTTTGGTTTTAAAAGACTACTGAGAAAAATAATTACAAAATCTCATGTTATTACAGTTGTTGCAATATACGTTTAAAATTATTTGTTAAAAACAACAATTATTTAAAAATGCAGGAGGGTTGGCGCCTTCAAACGAGTTTATCCCCGCCACATTCTGTATGTGCCTAGCCTGTAATTCAGTGGTTGTCGTTTGTAACTTACTGTGTAACATATTTGTTTTTCGTTCATTATTTTGTACATAAATTAGGCCGTTAGTTTTCTCGTTTGAATTGTTTAACATTTGTCATTTCGGGGCCTTTTATAGCTGACTATGCGGTATGAGCTTTGCTCATTGTTGAAGGCCATAGCGTGACCTATAGTTGTTAATTTTTGTGTCATTTGGTCTCTTGTGGAGAGTTGTCTCATTGGCAATCATACCACATCTTCTTATTATATATATGTAACAAACTTTTGTCCTCTATATTATAATATTCCAATGATAATATTAATATTAATAACAACTTTAAAATGTAAAACAGAGCTTACAAATTCTTACATTGCTCAAATTCAGCCCCAAAGATTAATAATTGTTCCAACACGTTTTAAGGTCCACGGTATATATATATACATACAAGTTATGTACAACCCATCAGATGAATAGATAAATGCTCAACATGAGAATTGAGTTCTGCATTTAAAGTTCTGAAAATAATTTTTTGTTTCTCATACTAAATTATTTACCAAAAGTTTTGAAGAAAAAATGATTCTGTTCAAAAGACAATAAATTTAAATATTATTCAAATTCAAGACTATTTTTTCCGTTTTACGGTCCATAAATTTAGCATATGCTATTTCACAGTACATATTACATTTGCTCACATTTATTTCGTCCGTTTTATTATGCACAAGAACTAAGTCCCGGAAACATATACAGATACAAATGTAAAAAAATAGCAAATCTAAAGAGTAAAAGTACTGATTTTAAATGTCGGTACGTGCAGAATATTTGAAGCCCACTGCTTTAAGAAATGAAATTACATCAACTTCTTTATTGTTTTAGGAATTGCTCCATCAGATAACCTGTGTGCCCTTTCTCACTTCTACGTACTACTGCTTGGTGTAGAAACAACAAAAAAGTGGATGTGCTGAATAAAATTACTCATAGCATATAATAAATTTATTGACCGTAAAAAATTTTGAGATGGAATGATTCCATAAATTGTGAATTATCTTTATTTTACCCGTGTTACCTGTAAAATGAATGCGTACAAATGTAATCAAAAGTTGCGCGCAAATGTATAAAAAAATGTAATCCCCAAATGCGCGCAAATGTAATACGCTTATATTTCACATCAACCAACGTTGGATATGCACTAAGCACTCGATATATCAAAATATTATCATAAAAGCTAGAAGCAGATTTTTCATTTTAATCAATCCAAGAGTTTGCAGAATTTCAAATGAATAGAAAATAAAACGATATGGAGTAAATGTACATGGGAAAAAATCGCACACAATACATATAAAACATAGAAAATTATCAATGAACAGGGCTTTTATTCCTGTTCTTCATCTTGACAGTTGATGTAGGGTCTTCGACAATGAACGAATCATTCATACCCTACAACAAGGTCAAGACGGCCCCTAGCGTCGACTTAAGCGGTACTATTGATAAAAACAAACCACAGTTCACCTTCTTGCTCCACATCCGCCTCGGAGTGCCAACTTGTGCAATGCTTGTGTGCGACGGTTCTCCAGTAAAAGCACCAGGGATACAAGAAAAGTGCAGTAATTTTGAAAGACATCGATCGCCGCTAAAATATGCCTTGAAGTTACACATGTCGGGAGCGGTCAATGAATTACATAATTTATAATTACGGGCGAGGTTTTTCAACATATATTTGTCATACATTGCCCAACAAAAGGCCTATAATTTCGAAACAACAAATGATAGACAGTATATATAAAACTAAAAAACAAATGATAGACAGCACGGGGCACATCGAAATATATGTAAGAAAACCTAGCAGTTTAAAATAGTATGAAAGGGCAATATACAAATTAGATGACCAGACCAGAACCCTTTTCATGGCATGAATACTATCAATCCCCCATATTTAATAACAAATGTAAAACAATATAGGCCTACTTTTATCAGACGGTCTACTGGCATTAGACTGTCAGGTTGTATAAATTTAAATCAAATGAATTGGTTCATTGATTGTTACTGGCTTAACGACTTGTAACATATGTTAGGCATATCCAGGACGAGAACAAATTAACAATTAATACAATAGATTCTGGTAAATAGATTGTAAGTTATGAAGGGGTGTTTAATGGGGACAGGAGAAAATTAGCTTTGGAGAAGGCCGTCTACAGACACCTCAAAGATTTGATATAGGTTCTTTAACGTGCAGCCTTACCGAGGCTTCGGATATAATTTTGGCACTGGCTACGGTTACATTGAAATGTAACAGTAATAAAAAAGTTATTGTTACATTGGAGACTAATTGCCGGAATGCAGGGTTGGGTAAGGAACTGATTAATTACGAATGTAACAATAATATTCGTGTCTACGGTTACATTGTCTTCTTATTACGTTAGATTTTTTTTAACTTTAACCGTCTATAGTATTGTTGCTTAATTCTTCGATATGTACTTGATAATAATAGTAATAATATTATTATTATTATTATTATTATTATTATTATTATTATTATTATTATTATTATTGAAATATATAGTTAAACGGTTCTGTGGTTAAGAAAATATTTTTCACCTGAAGCATTGCAGACATTGAAAGTTTTTTATAACTTCAAAAATGGATATTACATTTACAGAGTGGCTGGTAAAGTCTGCAAAACCGACTACACATTGATGCATCACTCGTTTGAGTGTTTCACCAAAAATGCGTCGGACTGAAACATGCTCATAAAACAACAAACTTGATGTGTGGAAACTGCGATTGTAAATAAAAAAAATTTAAAAATTGTATAATGCAATATTGTAAAATTCAAATTAAAGTTTTAAAGTTTTATTTTAATACATTTGAGTGCATTAACGTAACAATAACATGATGTAACCGTAGACACAAATATTGTTACATTCGTAATTAATCAGTTCCTTACCCAATCCTGCATTCCAGTAATTAGTCTCCAATGTAACAATAACTTTTTTTATTATTGTTACATTTCAATGTAACCGTAGCCAGTGCCTATAATTTTTTCATTCCCACCGGCTCTGATTGCGTATTTATGCATCTCTCACAGTCAAGCAGACGCCCTTCTCTAACATGGGTTTCATTGACGGTTGGGGAATTCAAGGTGAACTTTTTTTTTACTTCAGGCAATCCTTTGGGGTAGGGAAAAAAGTCTGCATCAGGTATACACAAATGAAACAGTAACCCAACTACACAAACATTCAATAGACATTTAGAGAATATTTCAACAATAGACAGGTGTTTATTCAATATGACAAGCTCTTTATGATATGTTCATGTCAAAATTTCACACATTTTTTTAAGCTTAACTCGTAAGAAAGGTAAAATCAGCTCTAGAAAAAAAACTACTCTTCATTTAGTTAGATTTATACATTTATTGATGTTTATCATTTAGCGATTAATTTTTGCCCTAAGCTATTTAAAAAGCTAAAGCAATATAAATGTATTTTACCTTACACCAGTTCCTTCCACACGTTCTTTTGAAACAATCGTCATCATTCGAGAACAAATGTTTTGAAGCCAAACTCATAAAACTTTAAGAGTCTCAAGGCCAAAAGGGTGTTAACAAAACCGAAAGCTTCTGCATATGTTAACACATTCATTAAAAACGTAAATTAGTTTCTTCGGGTTTTTGTAATTAATTTACAATTAATAAATGATTGCAGGTGGAATTTCAGATTGTGCCATATACTTTCTATAAATACATTTGATCACTGTGTCTAGACTACCGACTACCACAACAAAATATGTTAGGACTCTATAGCATCTAATATCCAGTACAGTGATGGACCACTGACAGACAGAGAAAAGCTAGTACGTTATTCAATATTTAGTAAAGGAGGTGTGGGCCACAGGCCAAAGAGACAGCAAACAAACAACATATAAAAAACGAAAGATATATAGGGGTCAATATAAGGTTGTCGATAATAGATAGATGTCTATACACTAAGATCCCAATCGTCAGGACTCTTAACAGAATTGTAAATAAATATTGTTGTCTCCAACAAGTTGAACCGTGAGCTATTGCTCTGATATAATATCACCACTTTAAGGTATTCGGTAAACATGCATGAAGTTGATGCGCAATGGACGTGAAGACTTATCACACGGTATAGCATGCTCACGAGAAGCTTGATTCCAAATGTCAAGAAGCCATGATTAGTTCCTGATAAAAAACACGACGGAAAATTCATAAATGTTAGAATATGTAAGTATTCGGTAAACAGGAAGTTTAGCATAATAAAATAAAGTTTGATACAAAATTTCTGGAATCTATGATTTGTAGTTCCTGAAAGTGCAACAAAATGTCATGTGACGAACAGAAAGATGTTAACCATACACTTACTGGTGCCGGAATATAACGGCATAAGGTATCTCGGGAACTTAAAATCACAGCGGCCATTTTAGATCTCAAATAATTGGTAAAAATTTTACTTAAGTTAGCCAACTTTTATATAGAAATGCAAATTATTTCAAGGATTTACATGAACAAGAAAACGTGTATACATATTGTCATGTATGGTAAAAAAAAATATAATGGACAAAGAGAGAGAAATGGATATGTGAGGGGAGGTAACTCGCGACTCTTTGAATTAATATT